GTATGCTCTGGTCAGATATATCCTTCTCCCGAAGCTGCAGATTCAGTGCCATCCTTTGAGATACATTCTTCTCAGGGGAGGGGCAGGCATCCACTTAGTATTTGGGGCTGGGATCCAGGGGCCACGTCTTAACGCCCGCCGCCCCCTCTGCTGACCCTGCCTCCCTCAGTGTGTGCCTGTTTGTCCCCCTGCAGTTTGCTGTCAACAAGCTGACGGAACTGGAGCACTGGAGGCACGAGCTGCAGGGTGAGGCCCACACCCTCATCGACTTTTTCTGTGAGGACAAGGGGACCATGAAGCTGGACGAGTGTCTCCAGATATTTAGGGACTTTTGCACCAAGTTCAACAAGGCAGTGAAGGTACGGTCAACGGCACCTTTCTCTTTTCACGGGTGTTTGGGGTTTTGTTTTTTATTTTTCCTCTGCTCATGGTAGAGAGGGATCAGCAGGTCCACAGCCCCAGGAAAGTGTGGCCCAGGTGGGGTTGCCAGGCTCTCTCTTGGGTTTCTGGGAAGTGGCCCTCCCAGCCCAGTGGAGAGCTTCCACAGCCTCAGGAGTCTGGCATTTGGCGGCCTCACCAACTCTCATACTAATTCCCTAAAATAATTTTGTTAGTAAAGTTTATTTGTGTAGGCGGCAATCATACTTAAAAGTCCCTTTGAAGATCTGGAATGTCTTTCTCACCTGCCTTGCCTCCCCAGAAGAGAATCGTCTCTGAGCATCGGGGTGGTAGTGCAGACTGGCATGCGGGAGCCCAGCTGTCTGTGGCTAGAGTGGGTTTTGATGTTGTCCCACGTCTAGGGGATCTGCTGCTGGGCTGAGCACCCCTCTTGCCCTTCACCCACCCAGTAAGCTCTTGAGTTCAGGGCAGACCAGAACATTCCCTGGGACCCCTGATTTTGTAAAGACTTTACCAACCTATTACAAGCCAAACAAAATTACTCCCATTCCCTGCATTTCAGGGTTGTGAGAAGGGACCAGCTAGGCGCAGGTGGTCCTCCTTTATATTTTAAAGGCAGATCTGCCCACTGCAGGGTTTGGTTGTCTTTTTAAGGACTGCTTCCTTTCTCTGCAGCCAAGAATGACCCTGAGTTCTTGACTCTCCTTTCCCTGTGCAGCTAAGAGAAGAAGGCTCCGCCTATGGCCACGTGTGTGCTCCGCTGTCCCATAAGTGAGCTCAGCGGGGAGGCGGCAGTGGCTTGGTGGAGGCCAAGTTGGCCCTGTCTGAGGCGCTCGCTCCCAGGCAGCACAGCGCAGGCCAAGGAGGCCACCTGTGCGATGCAGTCAGCGCAGCTGTCCTGGGGGCCAGAGCACCCCCCCCACAAGCCGCCTTGAAAGGGGAAGGCCTGAGAAATGAGGAGAAGCCAGAGCCTCAGGAGGAGCCAAGAGTCAGGGGAGGGGAAGGGAGCCCAGCAAGGGAAGGCCAGCCAGAGCCTCCCAGCAACTTGGAAGGGAACTTGCATCCCTTTGAGGAAATGCATTTTTCAAGTGAAAAGTGCTAGTGATAACAGATTTGGGGTGGGAGACCCACATATTGATGCAACACCAATCTATCGAACCTGTAGTCAAGTCTGCTTTCGGGGTGTGTGTGTGTGTGTGTTGGTTCTGGATCAGCTTTGCTTGCGGAGGAATAGGTGCTTTGGACCAGGGTGAAAGGTCGAGGGACTTGCAAAGCATGCTTGTGTCTCTTCCACGTCTCTGCTGGTAGGAGCAGGGGTGGGCCTGCTGCTGGGGTGGGCGGCTATATCTGCGGTGCTTCTTTACCAGGGAGCAGTCAGAGACCAGGGCTGTGGGAGGCAGCTCTTAATATCTTGGGTGTATCGCTGCATGCCCAAATCACTCAGGAGAATGGACTGTGCTTGACTGAGCACACACACGTGTGTATGTGTACGTACATAACCATATTGTGTTCCCACCCAGTGTGCGGTTCCTCTCCCGCTCCCTAAAGAGCAGCGTGCGTCTCTGAAGCCCTCTCTGTGCGGCCCTGCTGAGAAGCCAGCCTGGCAACTCATCACAATCCATACATACATCAATTGTATAAAGCACATTTGTACATTTGTTACATTTTTTT